TTTTTTTTTTTTTTTTTTTTTTTTCATTGATTTGATGGTCAGAAATCAGAAGTTCTGATAGTCTTTTTAATGCATTTTAAACTTTATCTCTGCAGTTTGCACTTTTGTATTTTGTTTAATAAATCCCATTGTTTTTGGAAGTCATAAAGATACTGTCTTATAGGATATTATACTTTTGCTTTTGATTTTGCATTTTTAACTTCCCAGTATTAATATAAATATGGTAGTTAGGCAGTTGTTATTAGGGGAAAAAGTCCCTTTGGTATATGGAGTTCCATGCTTAGTTTGATTCAGAACTAAAGCCAAAATTTGAAATGATGTATTTCATCAAGTCTCTATATTCAAACCTTTTGTCATGGTATTTTAGTCTGTGTGGAGACAAAAGTTATTTTTATAATTAGAGTCTTTTGCATTTTTACTGTAGAAAATATAAATATCATTAGACAGCTACTACTATTATGAAATGCAGCAGAGAAAGGGCCCTGACCAGTTGGTATTCTTTGCAATTCAGCTTCCATCTTGACTATGTCTTTAAGATTCATTACTTTCTTTCTGACACACTTGTGAGTAATTATAAGTAGATAGTAGGTTACAGTTGCAAGCTCCTGCACACTTCCCTTTTGATATGGGTATGACAAGCATTATTCTTACCATCTGAGAGAGAATAAAATAAAGAGTAAACCACCTACTTAAGTTTACAAGTGAAACATTGATGAGAGGGGACAAGTTGTTCAGCATTTTAATTCACTGCTCACCTCCAGAACACTGTTCCTGGTTTAAGCTTTTATATCCCAAGGACAACTCTTCCATGTAGAGTCATTTCTATTCTTCTGCACGTGTGTTTGCTTACATTTCCATGTTTATGCATTTGTTGAACAAAGATCTAAGGCTTGCCTATAGAGCTCTACCCATCCCTCAGATAGGATAATCAAAAGGAAATGAAAGCTTTTTCTTTGTGTTTCTTTTTAGAGCTTCCATGAAATATTCATACCCTTGACCAGAAAATGACATAAAATACTAAAGCTTTTAAAGGTATTATTGTCAAATTTCCCTTTCAATCCCATTGTCTGTTTTATTAAAATGTTTAGCGTTCCAAACCCCTGAAGTTAGAATTATAAACACTTATCCTGTACTTAAGTGCATTCTTTTGAAAGCATTCTGATAACATATTGGCTGGTTCTCAAGTTTAAAAAGGAAAAAGAAAAGCAGTAAATGAACTCAGGGTTTCTACAAATAGTATTAAAATATTTCCTATTTTTAAAGTTATTAATGCTTTTCCAAATTCCAATATGGGATTATTCATTAAGAATATTAGTTTAGTCTCTTCAGCAGATATTCACTGAATTTGAGAGGAGGAAATTCTTTGAGCGAAAACCCACTACCTGAGACTTCCACATTTACCTAGCTCCTTGGTATACAAAGTATAGTCCATGAAGCAGTAGTGAAGCATCTGAGGCTTTCTTCCAACCACCGAATTCGAATCAGCATTTTAACATGATCCTCAAAATTTCCATATGCATATTTGCCTTGGTTTCTGCTGCTATAACAAAATACCAGAGACCGGGTAATTTATGAGCAATAGAAACTTATTTCTAATAGTTCTGGAGGTTGGAAAGTCCAAGACCAAGGTGCTGGCAGAATTGCTATTTGGTGAGACCTCCTTTCTATTTCCAAGGTGGTGGCAGAAAAGGACTTAAACTAGTTCCCTCCAGTTTTTTTTAATAAGTCACTAATCCATTTCTGAGGCAGAGCTATTATGATTTTCCAAAAGCCCTACCACGTCATACACCACAATGGGTAGTGAGTTTTAACATACATTTTGGAGGGCACACATTCAAACCATAGAAATATTAAATTTTGAGAAGCATGCTCTAGACTGGTGCTCTCTAATAGGGTAGCTACTACTTGCATATGGCTATTGAGTACTTGGGGTATGGTTAATCCTGAATTAAGATTTACTGTGAGTGTAAAATGCACACTTGATTCTAAAGACTTATCATAAAAAACACAAAATTTCTTCTTAGTAAATTTATATGACATGTTAAAATAATAATGTGACAGATACGTTAAGTTAAAAAATACATTATTAAAATAATTTTCATCTATTTCTTTTTACTTATTTTTAATGTAAGTACTAGAAAATTCAAAAATACATCTATGGCTCACATTGTTGGCTCATATTATGTTATATCTCTATTAA